ATGCATATTTCACGCCTATTGCGGTAGATAACCAAGCTTCCAGAACAGGGTATAGACTGAGATGCAAAAAAATAATCATTGAATAAATGAATAATAGTTACTGCAGTGGTGAGCAGCAGAGCTTGGGATAAAGAACTACTTGTGTTATCTTTCACCTTTATTTTTTTTTCTGGACTTCTGGTGATATTGTTTATTATTTTAATAGATTTAGGGGGTACAAGTTAAATTCAGTTATACGTATACATCTAATAGTGGTAAAGTCCAGGCTTTTAGTGTACTCATCACCCAAATAGTGTATATTGTACCCCATAGGTAATTTTTCATCCCTCACTCCCTCTCACTCCCCCTTCTGAGTCTCCAGTGTTCACTATACCACTCCGTGTGTTTAGAAGACAGTCCAATTCAAGTAAAGAATGATCTGAAAAGAGAAAACCTTGAAAGAGTCCAGGTAGCTCAGTAACTCATGTCCACTCTCAAATCATCTTGGTCCTTTTGTGAAAGATCAATGTATCCCCTAAATGACATGGCATAGATGAGTTAGAAATGTCCTATGCCTGGTTCACCTAAAAGATTTCCCTGTTTTAAATAAAAGGAAGGATTGTATTAAGGTGTTCCGGAACTGCCTTTTTACACTAATCAGATTATTTTAGCGAAGAAAGTTCAAGAGTAAGTTCCAGAAGGAAGATGATTTACATTATGACTCAGCTCTCAAGGACAGAGACAGAAATACACATATCCTTCTAGACTCTTACAATGATGGGGCTCTGAGACCACATATGCTCAGTGTCTTCCGTGACGGCACACTCACACTTATGGCTAGTCATTAGAGATCAGTGACTGTAGCTCTGCTCCATTGTTTGAATAATTGTTCTGAAACAATACAGTTTTGCTTTCATTCACTGAAAGGAAAATCCTGTAGACAAAAATTACTGTCATTCAATGAACTCACGATGGTCATTAATGTAACTCAAAACCTAATGACATCCTCCACTCTACAGCATAAAGACACATGGCTAAACTCTCCTCTTTAAAAGAATCTCTATTAAATAGAATTTACCTGCAGTGTCAGGTCAAAGCCATGTTGCATTTAAAATATGTAATCACCACTATGCTTTATAAGATTATAAGGCTTTAACGCCCTTAGAGTTGAACAAAAAATATAAACACAGAAGAACATAAGATTTAGTCACTAATCTGATTCTTAGCTTTCAGATACTTTAAAAATAATTTGTTTATATTGTCCTTTGTTTTGTTGCCTTTCCTATAAGCTCTGATCTTTGCACTGAAGTCAATGGGCTGTCATCAAAAATGATAATAGAAAGCCACATTATTTAAGAAAGGAGCTTGATTACTTTAGAATCTAAGACAGCACAAAACTGCAGGCCTATCACTAGATAATGATAACATAATAGATGATTCAAGTACTGGTGTATTATCCAAACAGGACTAAATTCAGAATTGTTTACCACCAACACCCATACTTTCTGAAAGCTACAAAAGGTCAAGAAGATGAAGAGTGCATCTGTATTCTTAACCCCCTAGGCAGGAAATTCTATCTAGTTAGGATTTAAAATAAGTAAGTAATACCGCCAGTTAATTGCTTCCTTTACACTTCTTGATCCACACTCTGAGCAACACTTAGTTGTGGCCAGTTATTATTACAAAGCACTAACTGCATAGGCACTAAAATAAGAATATGTGGATGCTATTGGTAAACTAAGATTTGCTCTGTGCCCAGAGGCAGGATCAGTATCAAAAATAACTCAGTTTGAACAAGATTAATAAATAATAAATATGATATAATAAAGTGTAAATATTCAATTAAGTATTGTGAATTATTATATTTTAATCTTTCTTAGCTATAGAACCTCATTTCCTCCCTGAGAGAGGGGCCAAATTCAACCACCTTCCACCACTGGGCCACCTTTAGCCATTCCGCAGGTAGAAGGGCTCTGCAGATATCCCTTTAGAACAAGAATACATTGTGATGGAAAGTTTTGGAAGGCCAGGAGACAGCAGCAAGAAGCCTCCTATAACGGGTAGAATGAAAGTATCATTTAGTAACCCTAACACTATGTTATGTCCACCTTCTTTCTTAGCTACTCCAGTTATCTGAAGTTATTCGGCACAGTAGATTAAAAACAAGTTTTTTTGTGTATCAGGCTGGACAGGATCCAACATACCTCATGCCCTGGACAGGACACCTGTCCTCTTTGTTCCCTTCCTGACCTCAATATTAGGCAGCACCTAACAAGGCTGGAAGAATAAATGGATGGTATTCAAGTGCGAAGACATGTCCATCATCAGATATGGTTTCTAAAACTTCTATTCAAGAGTCACATCTAACTTTTTGTTGTGATGTCCTACCATTTGCATTTTGAGAGCCAGATTTTGTAAAGATCCTAAATTAATGTTTGGAAACTTTTATTTTCTATCTTTCCCCTGATTATATTCCATGTCCATATTCTTCTCAACTTTATATAGTATGTGAATCTGATAGTCAAACGTGCAAGAATATTGTCTCCTTCAATGAGCCAGTAGGGAAATTGGGGAGAGCAAGTTGTTAACATTTGGAATCAGAACAAGATTTTAATTTAATAAGTTATTACTTTCTGTCAGCTCAACTATTGCCATTAAGATTTTCCAGATGTTGTCTAGCCTTTTTGAAAGATTTTTTATTCTTATTCTTTCACCAAGACTCTATGGCAATGTTTCTCAACGTTTTTCTCACTATCACTAACCCATCACCCCAATAAAGAGCCTTTTTAGACTTTTTTTTAAATCACTCTCCCTCCCTACGAATGTTAATACCACAGAACAGTGTATCTGTTCACATATGCTAGCCCTTCGGAGAAACACAAACCATTACAATATCTAAGATTTTTTTCACCCCCTAAGATCCAATTTCACCCTCTTGGGGACAATACTGCCCGTCTTGGAGAATGCATGCTTATTTAAGAAAAAACTACAATTCTGAATTTCCCAAACTAACAACTCATTATGATTGTTGACATTTTTTACTCTATATAAAACAATTTTTTATGCCTAACTACCTTTTCCTCCTTCCTAATTTTTATTTGTAAGATGACATTGAGAAAAATATTGAGCAATAAAATCTAATCAAAATATATGTGTGTGTGTGTGTGTGTGTGTGTGTGTGTGTGTGTGTGGACTATTAGAGTAATTGCAAAATAGCTTTAACTAAAATATGAAGAAATAAGAAATTCAGGGTAGTTTTTAAAATTTTGAGGAAAAAATGCACTTTCCATATAGCCTAGACAGATGTATAGAGTTTTAACAATGGAAACCAAGTTTAGATCATTCCCTTCCCCCCCCCCAAAAAAAATGCTAAACTGCATGACTTGGTTTTAGTCAGAATCTTGGGTGAAATGGGCAATGGTTACATACTTTTCATTTTCTGTCCTTGACTTCTTGTAACTGATACTTGGGAGGCTAACGATTACAAAATTATGGCTATGAAGTCATGCAAATTATAAGTGCAATTTTACCCTATGCAGCTAAAAGGACATATAAAGTACAAACATGAACAAATCCTAAAAATCATCTAGGAGAAGATCTGTCCCTAGTGTGAACATTAAAGCATGAAACAAAACCATAAAAAGTTTGGTCGAACCTTTTCTTAAGTTTAGAAAATTTTGTGCCTTAACTAAGATAGAGGATTATCAAAAATGCACTGCTGTAATATTTTATATAAAAACACAGTTATAATGTAAGGTGACTCTCTGTGGCTTCTCCCATCACACACCTACACCACTGCAGGTGACTTGTGCATACTGAAATCCACAGTCTACTTGTCACTGGAAAATATAATAAAGTTTTTTTCCCTTCAAAGTCCAAAAGTCCTTCAGTCAAGTCCAAATTAAGGACATACCAAGAAAAAAACTTGATAAGCCAGTAAGAGGGCTAATATGAATTTACCAAGTAAGACAGTCAAACATTGCCAGCTCAAACAGTGAAGCCATCAAGAATAGCTTGGTGGTCTCCCTGGGTAAGCAGGCAGGAGAGAAGGATATTGATGCAGAAAGAAATAAAAACCAAAAACTTATGGGTCCATTCAGGTACATGGCAGAAACAGCTGCAAATTGCTGGGAACATCAGCTGCAGCAGGAATTGAACGATAAATCAACTTGAGATCTAGGTGGAGGCCCTGGAAAGTAAATAAACTCAACTTAGGGTCTCTGGACCCAGGTGTCTTCCACAGTAAAGGAAAACAAACAAGCTTGCTTGGGACCTTTCTTAGGACAGCTGTCTCAAGCTTTGCTCCTTGCAAACAGCTTGCAAAAAGCCTTCTACGCAAGGAAACTAGCAGCAGAAGCCTGGTCCCCCTGTGGTACAGATGAAACCCCAGAAGTCCTAGTCTCCGGACTTCTGAGTTTCTGAGCCACGCTGAACTCCAATGAAAGTCACTTAGGGGACGGAAATGGCAATATGCCTGCTGCACACGGCCATCTCCTAAAAATAAATAATATATAAACAAATCCTCACTCTGTTCCAGATACAACTGCTAGACTGAAACGCATCATTCCCTCTCCCCCACTAAAAAAATAAAAATAAAAATAAGCCGCCCAGAGACAGCCACTTTTGAGCCCCTCCACCTATCACAAGTTTAAAAGGTTTAGAGTCTGACCGAGGGGCGGCGCAGCCTGCAACTTTCTCCAACTCCGGGATGAGGCACCGCATCCTGGTACCAGAGACCCATTTAACACCAAAATGACTTCTCAAGGGTTCAACGAGATGAGCCACCTGACTCATCCTATCCCCTCCAGCATGCTGCGTCCCACATCCCTCAGTCCCATTCCGGAAGAAGGGGCTTTCTCAGGACTGGGTACAGGCACGAGACCTCCCTCCCAAAACAATGCATTCAGACCGGGTTCATAGGGAAGATTCAAAAAGAAGGGGGAAAAAATCCCAGAAAGAACAATGCCAACAACAGCAAATATGATTATCGTTTACATTAAAAAGTAAAGCGAGTCTCTTACCATCTCTCCTGAGGTTGGCGTTGCGCAAAGCTTTGATGGATGCGCTCTGCGGAGTTGCAGAAGTGTCCCGATAGCTGCAAAAGTTTACGCAGACTAGAGTGTAGACGAAGATGAGCCGGTGCATTTGGGATTAGCGACCTAGGGACAGCGTCGCTCCAAGAAAAAGCCGGGTTCTGCTCCCGGGACGGACGCCGCGCCGCCCTGCGCTCCTGCCGCCTGCGCTCGCCCAGCGTGGCCCTGGCGGCTGTACTAATCGCCGAGCTCTCCCCAAACTTCCTGCATGCTTAACTTTCTGAGCGCGTGTGGGTGCCGCACTTCCTTGTGGTGCTGAGTTGATAAATGGTGACGGGACAAACAACAGGTTGACGTCTGTTCGCCCCCTCCGGTGGCCAGCAGCTGCAGCACAGGCTGCAGGGGGCGGGCGGCGCCGCGTCTGGCGGGGCGGGCGAGCGGAGCAGCCGCGTCCTGTGACCCAGGCGACCGCCCGTGAGCTGCGCGCGCTCAGGCTCGGAGCGGCGGCGCGAGCACCCCGGCTCCCCAGGCCCGGCCCAAACCTGCTCCGCCACTGAGCATGCCCAGTTCGACAATGGGCCAGGACTGTCCCCACCGCCCTGGGCTTTACCCTGGTTGTAGGACCTGAGAGAAAGCAGGGAACAAGATGGCCAGGAGGAATTGGGAGAGGGTAGAAACTTAGGACTTCTCCAAACGTGACTGGTACATCCACCCACAAACCACAGCGCTCGCCTTCATGATGGTGGGATTTGGTAACGAGGACTGGAGTTGGGAGTGTTTATTTTACAATAACCAAAATCAGATTCTACTGAGGCAAAATTTCACTATGTGTATAGTGAAAAAATGCTGTCACAGAGGAGCTCGAGTCTGAGCTTCTTTTGGACTCCAGTGTGACCTTAGGTGAGTTAAGGGTAATTTCTTAGGGGGAAAAAAAAGCTGTCCTTCCTATCTCACGGGGCTGTAGATGTGAGGGGCCCATATGGTGAAGTGTACAATATGTACAGCAATAAATGTTAAGGTTTTTTTTTTTTTTTTAATGCCTCAGCCTTCCCCTAGCACGATAGGACAGGATCCAGTGGTGTTGAGCACTGACAGACAGACTGGGCAAGGGGAGGAAGTTGCTAGATAACAATGTGTCTCTTTGCTTTCACAGCCCGTAGGAAGAAGCAGGGGCTATTCAGGTTTTTGGGAGCCTCCCTACTTTAAGTGTCTGGAACCTCCAGTCCAGAGGAGCTGCCTCTGGTTTCCAAGAATTTCTACATCATGCACGTGTCTCCCCAAGGTAGGGACTATATTTGAAGAGAAGTGAGTTAAGAATGGCTGTTCACTAGCTTTGTCATCTTGAGCAAGTCATTTGACCTCTTGAGCCTCAGTTTCTTTGCTTGCAAAACAAGGGTAGCAATTCTTAGTTTGTATGGTTGTGGTGAGAATTATATGAAAAAAAATTAGTATATCGTTTTGTTTGTAGCTGACTCCAAATCCAAATTGACATAATTTCTCAACTTCTCACTGATGAGATCTGGAAGAGAAATGTTTCATTGTCTTTCAGGCCTTCCAGCTCCTGAAAGTCTGGGGTATGGGAAGTGATATCCATGCATAAGGTTCTAGAAGTGGCTGAAGGGTAAGAAGTTCAGGAAGAGATAGGCTTGTGACATTATTATCCCATCCAATGCTGACTAGGATACATATGTTCCTTCCACATAGTCAAAGATTAATGTGGTTCATTTCTATTGGCATTTTGGCCTAAAATAGTGTTTCACAAAGTGCAAGTTTGTGGGTCATGAAATCAGTTTCAATACCAGCATAATTTTTTAAATAAATAGAATAGCTTAGAAATCTAATCATCAGAGTTCATTGGAGATAAGATAATAATATTGTTTCATGAATATTTTGTTTCAGATACATACACCACACACACAAGCACTGCAATGTAAAAGGTATCTCTGTAGGGCGTAATCAAAAAAGTTTGAAAGCCGCTGGAAAGACAAGATCTAAACACATTGTCTAAAAATATAGTCAAATTCTGGAAGAGGCAGTAAGGGGGACATAAAACCTGGGTTTGCATTCAGTCATTGATTAATTCAACAAGTATTAATTAAGCATTAGCTTTTCCCTCTGTGCCACGCCTTTGTGTAAAAATCTTGGGCGTAAAATAGTGAACAAAAGAGACAAGGTCCCTAATATCTTGGAGCTTACAATCTAATGGAGGAGAGAGAACATAAATAAGTAAATATATATGTATGTTAATTAGTGAAGGGAGCCAGAGATAAATGGGATAGAACAGGAGCTAATTGTAATATATGATACCATTTTTTAGAAGTGGTTGGAAATGTTCATTAAATTTCAGACTTAGCTTCTGATATGAGAATGTAGGGAAAATGAGAAAATGTTCAAGTGGCTTATGTTATTATGACAAGTATCAAAAGGTCAGCTTATGTTAAGTATTAAAATGCTGAAATTATATTTCAATATCTTATATGAAATATTGAGTTTAAAGTATTAAATGTAGTGTTGTCCATATAATCAGTATTTTCTTGATCTTTAATGTTAATAAGTATCCAAAATTAAAAATAAAACAAAAAATTTAGTTACCTAAGCCTAACCAAGTATTCTGAACCTCGTTTTTGATATTATCTAATAATTAATTCTTGCAAATTAGATTGATTATATCAACTAAGGTATTATACACAGAATAGATGTTTAATAAAAATATATTTAAAGTGGGAAAGATGTGGTACAAAGACAGAAAATAAGAT